TAAGAATCCTATTTTGATTGTAGTAGTAGGTACAAAACGTTCTTTCTCAGCATTTGTTTTCCTGCGTGTAAAACGATGCACTGAGGAAATTGGCACACTAGAAATTGCATATTTTTTGATGTCATCTACATCATAGTCAAAGGGCACACCCCTTACCACACCATACGACTCAAAGGCCGTATTTGGGATAAAGGGTCTAAGTCCACGCTTTTTAAGATCGCTTTTGATTAAGAAGGAGTTTGCTGCATTTGCAGACTTAAAGGTCACTTTATATAAAGTTTTGCCGATCGCATAGATGAGATCAATGTCATTAAAATTGAGGTCCCTAATTCGGCTTCTTAAAGCCAATCCGTTCCTAACCTTTAATTCGTTCAATTCCTTGCACTCTGCTGCATCAACTAATACAAAGTATGTTCCACAAAAATTTGCCGGGTATAACGGTGAAACGCGCTCACCCTTATCTGCACCCACGCCTATTTTCGCGCCATCAGCTATTACGGCTTCCACCTCCATTTTGTCACTAGCATTTTCTGTATTAACTTTTCTAACCTCCTGCACTAACCCATTCTCGATTGCATCGGCAATCAAATTTTCATTAATCTTTTCGCACAGATTGAGATCATTGGCTTTTTTATCTAATTTGCACTTTTTATTTAAGTTCATTGTCGATGTGAAAGATTCAAAGTCGTTAGCCGATGCCGCCACCGACTTTCTGGTCGGCGACGCCATTCCGGCTTTAGTCTTTTTTGTAGCCCTAGGCTTCACTTTTTTTCCCGAAATTTACTCAATACTAAATTAAAAATACAAAAATGGTATGAAAAATTGACAAAATACTCACAATACTTGATAATCTGCTGGTTTATGCTGCAAATTTGCACACAAGTAGATAGAAAATCTAACTGCACTTAATGGCAATTCACCGGAGCTCTAACGGTAGTTATTCCTTTATAGCAAAAATAAAACACAATCAATTCGGCACGTCCAATCACTCTCGAAGTAGAAACGCGAACTGACTTTTTATAATCATGATTTGATTTACCAGATACGATGTGATGTGCTACTGACAATCGTTAACAATTCGAAAGGGTTAAATTGATCAGCTGATTAGCTGTCACACGCCTACAACTGAAGCTGTTCAAAGCGCGCTATTTAAGTTTGGAATTTAATCAAGAGGATTGTAGAGCATCAACTTTTTGAAATAAATAATCAATAAAAGTTTTAATTTAGTGGGTTAGTAAAGCCCACTAGAATACATTTTAGGATGGAAAGCAGGAACAAGTTACAAATCATTTACCCCGATGAGGATGGCGAGCCACATCCATACTGCCCGCATGGACCTACATTGTTGTTTCAAGCTCCAACGATAAGTGAGGATGAACAAACGTACGCATATTATGCCTGTGCAGCGCATCGTGATAAAAGTTTGTGCAGTTATCATCTGCCGGCGGAACAATTAACACCCCAAAAATTGGCAAAGCGTTATGGTTTAGACGATATCATCGAACAATATAAAGGACATAAACAAAAGGTAAGTTTTCATTGCACGATTGTTGGTATTGCTGCAGAGCATCCATATACATTTATTGAACAGCTATTGGTGTGTACTGACGGTGGCGGACGTCACTTCTGCCTCTGCTGTAATGTGCCACTGGTATCTGAAGAACAGTCAGGGCACACGGGTCATGAAATAGTTTGGAATTTAACAAACGAAATGCTTTGCGACCCAACACGTTTGCTAAGGCCACTTGACAATGATAAGGCACAGGCGCAGTACTTTTTTGATGACAAAGCGTTAAAGTTTTTCTCGAAATGTTTTCAGGATTTGGGCATAAGGTGAATATGATTTTCTAAGACTGCGTTACTAGATATGGATAATTCTTTTTTTTTATTAAATTATAGTAAGGTGGTCTGCATGGGCGCGCCGCGTTTGCATGCCTATCTGCGGAGTAACTCTACCAACGTGCAAAGTTTCCTCCTGGATTTTGATTATCGTATGTTTTACTTCTATGAGGATGACAATTTTGCCTGGTATAATATGTGTAACAATCACTTTTTCGATCACAACCAGCGTCTGTATTTTGAGAAGTTTTTAAATTGCGCACCGTGAGTATATCCACAAGCATTTTTTAATTTTTATGATATAAGAATTTTTTTAACTTATTTTCTCATTTTCCAGTGAGCAGAAGCTACTAGTATTAACTGATCCTCCTTTTGGCTGCCGCACTGAACTTATAGCCGCCACCTTGCGCCACCTTACACGTCTTTATAATAAAATCAATCACCTGCCACATCAACCGCTGCCTATATTTTGGATTTTTCCATACTATTCCGAACACTATATACAACAAGAAATGCCCCAATTGCGAATGTGTGACTACAAAGTTAACTACACCAATCACAGTTCATACACTGATATTGGCGATAGGAGTCGTAAGCTTGGTTCACCAGTGCGTGTCTTCACAAATGTGCCATTGGAGCTACTACACTTGCCTGTTGAAGAGGAATACAAATATTGTGCCCTATGCCAACGCTACACTGCCTTAGAAAACCGTCACTGTTTCAAATGTGCATACTGTCCATCGAAGAACGGCAGCACCTATCGACATTGCGACCTTTGCGGCTGCTGTGTCAAACCCAATTATGTGCATTGTAATAATTGTAGGCGCTGTACACAGTCTGAGGAACACGAATGTGGGATGTATCAAGCGAATCAGCACTGTTGGATCTGTTTGCAGAAAGGACATACAGAAAACAGGTGTGAAGAGTGGCGAAAGCACTGTAAAGTGAAATCTTTTGCTGACCGATTTGAGAAGATAATCACCTGCTTGTTGTGCCAACGTAAGGGACATAATGAGCGTAACTGTGCGAAACGGAACAAGTACCTTGAGGAATTGACCTTTATGGGGGTGGCAGAAGTAAAATTTAAGTAAATTATTAAAATGTTTTAACAACGAAAAATTACTTTATTTAATACTTAAGTGTAAACTATAAATACAAATATATTTGACCAGAAATCGAAAATCTTTATCTACTAACTTTAGCTAAGTGTACTGAGCTACGCGCAGCTGCGTATTGAATTAAAGAATGTCTAGCTTTTTGTACATATAGGATAATCGCTACAGGTCCTGTAGTACAGGATAAACTAGTAAAAGCTTTTACGATACAGAATTGTCACGCTTGCATGATCCTTTCTTGGTAGCATGTTCATAACCATCCAACCAGTGCGGAAATCCTCTGGCAGATGATGCACATGCTGCTGATGTTGTAGTGGTAGTGGAGAGATCACTATTCAATATCGGTCAACTTTTTGTATGATCAGGTTTTTGCTGCTGCTGCTGCTGCTGGTCTTGGCTGTGCTCGCCGGTGTTGATTTCGGAATCGATTTCGCGTAGCTCAATCTTTTGTTCACGCATCGCACGCTGCAGGAAAAATGTTCATATATTTGTAATTTGTTTTGCATGTACATATAGATAACCACTGACCTTCACACAATCTTGATAGACTTTAAAGATCGGTGCGCACAGAGAATCATCATGGTGGCCCTTTAGAAAATGCTCTGAAAACCAATTATTGAAGCAGGCGTCGTATTGTTTCTTTAACTCCGTGCATTCATCACCCAAACTATCCATGGCAACAGAGTTTTTTAATAAAACGTTTTTATATCAGATAAGTTCACGCAATAACATTCGTTTTTTGGCTAATTCCGTGTATGTAGTAAAAAACACGAGAAAACAAACGTCAAATTGAAGCCTATTAGAAAATATGAATCAGCTGATAGTGGGAATGTCGATAAAACATCGATGCATCGAAAATGTTCCACTCGATGTATAAATAGTCGATGCATCGAGGCACCTTTATATCGACTGCTGAGTGGAAGATCGACCTATCTCGGCAGCCAGCTCGAAAACGCTCTATCTCAAAAAACGTATCAATAATGTCCAGAGAACGTTTAAAACAGAGAAGCAGCAATTACGGATAGCCGTGTGAATTGTCAAACACTACCAAAATCGCTCTGGAAGCTCACCACTCGAATCGAAAATTGAGAGCGGAAAATTAACAGATCTGAGCGGCAAGTTAACAGAGCTGAGCGGAGATACAATTTTGTTAATTTGTATCAATGTTAAGTATTTTGGTTTGGATTTTCTTTTTCGCGGCATTGATTTAATAAAAAAAAAGATTAAAATTCTTGGTTAAATTAATGAAAATTAATTTACTAAAACATATGCCAGGGAATGCTTTAACTCCAAAACGTAGATTTGTTATCTAATAAATATGTGAAAGCTATGCAAATATGCAAACTCATTGGTGATTTGCCGTCGGCATTTGGGTCGCAAAAATCGTTTTTTTTTTTTAACGATTCTTATTGTAGTTGCTACACTATTTTCAATGCAACAAATCCCAGTTTTCTAACTGCCTTAGTTTTTTCACAAACTCACTTTAAAGATGGACGCATTAACAAAAAAATTTACAAAGCAATGCACTTGTTAACTTCAAAGTTGTTTTTGACTTTTACTGCAATACTCGTAGATATTATTTGTAAATAATAGTTCTGGAGTCAAATGCAAATCCATTTCCCAGGCATGCGCATATGGATACTTGTAGTACATACAGATGCGATCAACTAATTAGCAACGAAATTCAAAATGATATTGTTTGCAAATTATGTTTATTTATTTATTTTTAATAATTTCCTTTAAAATATAATTCAATCTATAACAGAAACCACAATAATAAAAGTTTAAAAGCTTGCACAATTTGCAAAATAATTAATCAAACTTCAAAAAATTGTTATAAAAATTTAAAAATTTTTAGTTAGAATATTTAGAAAATTTTCGGGTATGCAGCTTTGTAGTCCATTCAATCAAGTACACTAAAGTCCAAGCTTCTAGTCGTTAAAAATTACCGTTGATTTCTTAGATTTTTTTTTTGTGGAGGGTGTTCGCATTTTCTTCCATATAACACATGAACCAATTTTTTTTTGTATGAAAAATAAACAGCAACACCCCAAAAAAAAAATCTAAAAAATCAACGGTAATTTTTAACAACTTGAAACTTGCACTTTCTTATAATATAATTGAATGGACTACAATACTGCATACCCGAAAATATATTAAATATTCAAATAAAAAATTTGGATGACCATTTCTTGAAGGTTGATTCATTTTTTTGCAATTTGTGCAAGCTTTTAAACTTTTATTATTGTGGTTTCTGTTCCAGATTGAATTATATTTTAAATGAAAATCATTAAAAATAAATAAACATAATTTGTTGATGGCAGCTGAATGTATGTATGTATGTACTTACATATGTAAATATGTACCCCATACACATACTCCAAAATCATTTATTGATAACGTTCTTGCACATGCACATAATATTACATATATGTATGTACATACATACTAACTTTCTTCTTATTTGGGGCTGACAAACTTTAACTTAAGAGTCGACTTTATTTCGTCTACTAATATGCCCCAATAGTTTTGGAGTCAAATGAAAATGCATTTTCTACGCATACGTATGTACATGCTCCATTAATTGATAACGTTTTTGCATGCATATATATGTATGTGCATATTACTGCCAAAAAAACTACGAACATGCATATAAATGTACATATGTACAAATCACGGCAGCATACATACATATATATGCACATAATTACACGTATACTCAAATACAACAATAACTATTTCATTCATAAACGCATTTGCATATTTCTCAAGGCCAAGTAAATTCATTCATAAAAACAACCGCAGCACATCTCCCCGCAAATTCATCACCAACAAGCGCAACTTTGTCAATCCGACACAAAAATTCTAAAATCTTAAAATGAAGAAATCTCGGCCAGCCAAGTGAAAAGTGGCAACTATTTCTCTATATCCAGTAAAATAAGTTATCTCGAATCTTGGCAATTTTTGGTAATTTTTGGTAATTTTTGACAAAACACTCTATTTCTCTGTTCCATACCAATATTTCAATCATTAACTAGTATTTTAAAGTGTCATTTTAATAAACATTAAATAAAAGTGTATGTTTTCTGCAGCAAAATACATTATTTTTTTTTTAATAAAATCAAAACTTGTAAAATCACAAACATATGTGGTTTTATCGGAAGTTCACAGATGTAACGTGGCAACTTAGCTCGTTTTCATATTTTTCGGTCCGAAATTGTAAAATTTTTGTCCATGCCGCGCCACAATTTTTGTACAGGTGGGTCAATGTGCCTTGAACAAAATTTACATATATACAAAAAAATTATTTTATTTATTTTTTAATATTGAAAATTTCTATACCTCTAAGAGTTTATAAAAATATATTTATATATATCCACAGATTATTTTAAATTTTTTTCATCCGTAACCAAATCTTCAGTACCATAAAAAGATTCAAACACATCAAAGTACAAGCAATGCAATGTCCAAGTTAGTGCTACTCCACTGTACATGTGTATATGAATGTATGCATGTATGCGTGTAAAAAATGTCAATTCCAGTTGGTTTTTAACCCTTTTAGCGGACATAGTTTTTTTGCTTTCAGCTGGTTGCAACTGTTAATGAAGCACAATTTTTATGTTTAATCTTTATGAAAGTTACATGTATCGTCGAGAACATGGTTACATGCAGAATTTTAAATTAATTAATATTATTCACCATACAAAATGTACGAGTATTGCTTTATTAAATGCAAACTTATGCGAAAATCTAAATGTTTGGTGAACGTAGGGTTAATATTTTCGCGCACGTGCCAATCTGGTGCCGATTCGCAGAAATTGAATAATTTGTGTGTTGATGGGAGCGGAGTTTTAAACGTTCTCTGACGATATCGAACAGAAAGTACCGATATGGTACTCATTTAAAGTATCGCTTTTAAAATATCGGGTATTCATTAATATCGGAATAAAAAGACTCGATATTCCAAAAATCGATACCAAAATCCAAAAAATGTATATGAATATAGGTCTCGTACCATGGTCCGCTGTGGTGTAATGATAAGAAGTGCTCAAAACTTGAAAATGAAAAACAGCTTCCCATTAAAACAAAATCGCTGTTCAAAGTCGACATAAAACTGTAGGGACCCTTTTTGTGCCACAACATTAATAGCCCGAACACAATGAAAACGACGAGCTATGGACCATAGCTGTCAAATTATTTTAACACGTACCCTTATGTAGATCATTATTTTGGCGCCGACCGGGCTACGCGACGACTGTGGTTGTGGCCAGATTAGATTGTATAACAACACGTAGAGATTGAGGTGTTGTCTTAAAACACCGAAGTCGCGGGTTCAAATTCCACCACATGCAATCCTAACTATATTACACATTTCTACTCTTAAAAGCCCAATTTATATCGGGAAGAATTGTAAATAACATTATCATTGTATAAAATTAAGGTTAAGTGAAAAAACCGCGTGTCTTTTCTTTAAAAATTCAGAATTCAAGAGAGTTTATTACAAAAAATACACACTCTCATTGCGAGAGTCGTGTCGAATGCAAGTCGTTTTTCGAGAGTCGAATCGTATCGAAAATTCAACGTCATTGCCTAAAATTTCCACTCGACTAGTGTTTTAAAATGGAAAAACTTGGCAGCACTGTATAGTTTTCGACGATTTTGGTCGTTTACTTATTTCATTACGACAATAGACAATGCTACTGTTGTCGAGTCGTACAATTTAGCCTAATTTACGACTTACGCAATGAGGCTGACAATTCTCAGATGTCTTTACAGGGTTGCAAAAGGTAAACAATTCAATGTTCAGTACAACATTACAGGGCTGCAAAAGTTAGTAGGAAAGTAAAAGACTATGCAATAATATTGAACAGTGAGTTTATTACGTTCGATACGACAGAGAACGTTTATAAATGAGAAGGCGCATTTTCTCTGTGAACTAATTGCTGCCAGAAATTTTGGGGTGCAGTCGGCCAAATATACNAATTCCATAAGAATGCGCGTAAGCACAGAGAAAAAGCAGTATTCGAGAGAAAGATTTTGCGGAAGATTTACGGGCGGTTACGCATTGGCGACAGCACGTACCGCAGACGATGAAACGTTGAGCTGTATGAGCTTTTCTACATAGTGCAGCGAAAATACAGCGGCTCCCCTGACTTGGCCATGTCGATCGAATGGACACCGATGCTCCAGCTATGAAAGTATTAAACTCGGAACCTGCTGGTGGTAGCATTGGAAGAGGGTGGTCCCCACTGAGATGATAAGACAAAGTGGAGAAGTACTTGGCTTCACTTGGCGTCAGTTGGCACAGAAAAGAAACGACTGGCGTGCTTTATTGAACTCTGCCAAATTCGCTTACTTGCTCCCGCTTGGCGGTTATGGCGCCAAACAAGAAAGTTTAAGCAATTCATGCAAAGGTAAATAAACCTAACTTAAATATTACGTGAAAGCGGCGATTAATAGTCAAATTGTAGTAGTACAAATAAGAAGCAGCATCACTTTAATTTTGTATTTGCTAACCTCAATAAATAAGTAACACGTTTTCCGTGATTACCGCTATGGGAATGCCGGCATCCGAACCATTTTTTGGCGCGGAAGCGGTTAGTGGTGCCGGACGCGCTGAATTTTAGAAGTAAATTTATTTAATTTAAAATAATGTTTTCACTAGCCTTATCTAATAAGTTTTCTATAAAAAAAACTGTTTTGAAAAAAGGCAAATTTAATGAAAACAATTATTGAAAGCCACGACTGGGCACAGTTAAAACTACATTAATTTGAAATTACCTTTTTGAAATTGTGGTAACACTATAATCCGTGTTTCAATTCCATGTTTCCGTTTTTCGCTTGTGTTCGATTTCTTTGATGATCCGCCGCCATTTATAATTTTCTCTGAAGCGTTCATGTGGTGTCTACGAAATTGAGCTAATTTTATGCAGAAATAACAGAAAATCTTGCATTAATCGTTTTAAAGTAGTGAAAAACTGGCACCGCAAAGCTCCGCGGTTTGATAAATATATATTCTAAATAAATTGTGCTGCGATTTGTTCAGAATTTGTTCAATTGAAATTGGTTGCAGAAGTTGGTGGAGTTTTTTTTCTGAAGTTGCAGTGAAAAATTTTTTATTCGAAAAAATGAGTGAATTTCCTGGAGCGCAATCCAACTTAAATCAATCCCAAGCTTTTGCTGCCGCTCTACAACGTGCTAAGCAGGTAAATTTTCAGAAAAGTATTATGTTTAAAAAATCGATTTCTATAGCCATTTGCGTTTTTACGCACATACCCACACACGCACACATGTATATTTAGATTGCCGCAAAGATACAACCGAACGCTGCACAAGGTAACGGAGGGGTACCCAACGCTGGGCCATCACCAACAGCTGGCGTTGGCTTTAAACGTTCTCATGATGACAGCGATTCGGGCCCGGAAATGAAAAGATTCACTAGTCCTGGCAATGACTACAATAATTCGAATGGTAGCAGCGTAGGTGGCGGCGGCGGCAGTATTGCTGGCTCCGGAAATATTTCTCAAGCACTGGCGCAAGCCGCAGCAGTTGCACAACGTCTGGCGGCTACCGCCGGTACTACTGTTGAAGAGCAAATACGCATTCCAGAGCCGCTTGTGAATGCTGTGTTAGGACGTGGCAGTACTGAGACAATTACACAAATACAGGCAGAATCTGGCTGCAAAGTACAACTGTCACAAGATCAAGGTATGGCTTCGGAAGCGACTAAATATATGGTATTTTAAGGGTGTTTGTATACATATACATAATATATAGATCGCGTCGTAACTCTGCGTGGTTCGCGTGAGACTGTGACTAAAGGGCGTGAACTTTTTCAACAATTGTCTAATCGCAATGGCGGGGGCAACATTGAAGTGGTTTTGACAATTAATATGCCACCACCTGGACCTACAGGTTTTCCTCCATATCAAGAAATAATGATACCAGGCACAAAAGTAGGTTTGGTAATTGGAAAAGGTGGCGATACCATCAAGCAATTGCAGGAAAAAACGGGCGCTAAGATGGTCATCATACAGGATGGTCCAAATCAGGAAATAATTGTAAATTTAACTTTGTCAAGAAATATATTATGTTGACTGTTGTTATTTACGTATTTATTTTTGTAGAAACCTTTACGTATATCAGGCGATCCTCAAAAGATCGAACACGCCAAGCAATCAGTATTAGATTTGATAGCACAGAAAGATTTGCAGGCAGCAGCTCTCGCTGCACGCAATAATGGCGGCAGTGTGCAGGGCACTGGAGGTGGTGGTAGTAGTGGAGGCTATAATTTTGGTAACCTCGGAGAACAGTGTGAAGTTTTTGTTCCGAAAATAGCCGTTGGTGTAGTAATCGGTAAAGGTGGTGATATGATTCGCAAAATACAAACTGAATGCGGTTGTAAGCTGCAATTCATACAAGGCAAAAACGATGAACCAGGCGATAGACGATGCCTTATACAGGGTACGCGTCAGCAAGTTGATGACGCCAAACGTATGATCGACGGACTCATTGAGAATATGATGGTAAGTCTCATTTTGAAGCTGAAAGTTCCCGTTTTCACTTTTTTTGAACGGCATGTCCCTACAGCAACGACAACAGCGAAACGCCAGCAGCAGTAGTAATGGTAATACGGAGGGTAACAATTCCAACTACGGTTACGGCTATGGGGTAAATCACGCACAGCAACCACCACGTGAGGAAATAACATTTATGGTTCCTTCATCAAAATGCGGCGTAAGCGAGACTACTAGTTGTTCTTTGAATAATTTAAAAAAACATTTTATTTTTGACATCACAGATTGTGATTGGGCGCGGCGGTGAAACAATAAAACTCATAAATCAGCAATCCGGCGCCTACTGTGAAATGGATCGTAATGCTGTTAACCCACCATCTGAAAAGTTATTCAAATGCAAGGGTACATCGGAACAAGTAGAAGCTGCGCGCCAAATGATTGCAGAAAAAATAAATATGGAATTGCCCATAATAGCACGTAAGCCCATTAGTGGCAACATTCCCGGTCAGCATAACAACCAAGGTGGGGGATATGGCCAAAATCCAATGCAAAATGATCCAAACGCCGCGGCAGCAGCTTACCAACAGCAATGGGGCGGGTATGCCCAGGGATGGGGCGATCAAAGCCAGCAACAGCAAATGATGATGGGTGGTGGTGCCATGGGTCAAAACGTAGCAGCAGCAGCGGGGGGTGGACAGCAGGCAGACTACTCAGCTCAATGGATCGAATATTACAAGTAAGCATTTCGCCTCAAAAACATTTATAAATATTATATTGTTTGTGTTACTTTTATAACATAGATCAATGGGTATGATGCGCGAAGCAGAAATGATTGAGCAGCAATTGAAGGCAAAGCAAGCTGGTGAGTACATTATAGTTTTTGAAGGGTATAATTTTGGCTTATAAGGAAATGCTTCAAAAAAATATAGGCGCCAATGCTGGCCAACCAATGGCGGTGCCACAACAGCAACAGGCACAACCGCCACAACAACAACAGCAGCCACAACCGCAACAGCAGCAGCAACAAGGGCAAGGGGGCGGTTCGGCTGATTATAGTGCCCAATGGGCTGAATACTACCGCAGCATAGGAAAGATTGCAGAAGCCGAAGCTATTGAGAAACAAATGAAGGTTTGTGGTCTCTTCTGTTTTTGCATTCATTTATAATTTCAGATCTTAAATAACAAATTTTATACATCACTTACAGCAGGGACAGAGTGGACAGCCGAATGCAGCAGGGGCTGCCGGTGGCAATAGCAATGCGCCAGCGGGAAGCAATAGCAGCAGTGGAAATAATAGTGGCGCCGGTGCCGCTAATAATCCCGCTGATGGCGGCAGCAATGCAGCGTTACAAGGTATGACACCTAGTCAATATGCACAGTATTCCCAATATTATGCTGCTGCTGCCGCCCAAGCAAGTCAAGCGGCAGGAGGTGCTGCACCCGGCTATCCACAACAGGCGGCATATGGGGGCTATGGCGCACCTGGAGGTGGTTATCCAGGCGCGCCACAACCCAACATGACGCCAGGTCCAAACGCCTCCAATCCCAAACAAAATAAAAGCGACAAAAATTAAGAATTATATAGTATAATTTATATGTATGAGAGTGAGCCGCAGTAGCAGAGCAGTAGACGATCGTATGTAGGTGTAGCAGAAGTAGCCGTTTGGAAAATTTGTTCACAACGAAGCAGTCAAATTGGGGTGAGTTGTGTTTGCGATTATGTATATGCATTTTTTCGATAAAACTTGATGCTTTTTTAAAAATTCAATACTTGAAACATTTGAAACTACCAATTCCATTATATTATACCACATCATGAGTTTTCGCATTTAATACTTTCTCACCCAATTATGCCTATATATACTATATTAATATATATTTGTGTATATTTAAATTGAATAATTCCTTTACACTTTACTATTTTGGTAGATTGCGCCTTATTACAATTGACAACCAATTTACAATTTGTGTACAAATTTTTATTTCGCATTTTCGCCATATACTATTTTCCTTAATACTTTTAACTGATTATTTCTACATACATACATATACATATAATTACTATATATGCACATACATATATATCATATGCCGATGTAACCAAATATATTCCAACATGAAAAATTTTTTGCAGAGGTCACAATTGTCTCAATTACTACTACTTCTACCACTACTACTACTACTCCTTATCACTCACAGTATCTGTGAAAATGTGTTGGCGTGTGCGAGATGGGTTAAATTTAATATATTATGTATTTTTAGCTTGTAAGCATAATTTATAGGAACATCAACACTAAAACAAGAAGAAAAAAAACATGAAACGCCAACTACGCGTTTATAGATCATGAGATTTGAGTGCATATTTCACGATAAAACGCGGTGTATAGAAAATTTCAATAAATGAATGCAATTGGATATTTCAAAAGTGACCAACCAAATTTGAACGCGCAGCGCAGTATTCACTATTTCGCTTAAATTTTGTAAATTGCAAAAAATTCATAGCACAAAGTACATACGCATCTTAACCGAAAAGTTTTTCAAGTGTTGTAAAACTCTTAATTATGTTAAAAGAAAAAAGAATTGTAGGATGTGTTTAACTGAAAACGGAAACTTTTAATAATCATAAAATTAATGGAATGCGGAAAATCTCTAATTAATGATTTAGTGAACTATGAACGCTGATCATAATCTCTCCACAAATATATTTCGAAAAACAATTAATTAAACTTGTAAAATGTATGCTTTAACATAACAGTAGATAAGCCAATTTCGAAAAAATGTGGGCCTAAACAACTAAACCCGCAATGTTGGTTTAAACTTTAAAATTAAAGAGAAACAGAGAAATAATATATATAAATAAAAACTAAAACGTACGATTTCCCATATTCTTCCAACTGCTTGCTTCGTTATAACAACAGCAACAAGAAACAACAAAATGTGCAATCCTTACGACAATTTAATACGACAAGGACCCAAAATGCTGAAATACATGTGACTTCACAACTATAATACCTAAAAATCAAACCTAGAGATGATTGTTTCCCGCCATGCAACGTATGATTCAGATCATTGCCAACGGCATCGGGAGGGTAACACAGAAGTAGACAAACGTAACAAACTGAGCTGCGTGTGGTAAGCTGGACTTAATGCAACAATAATTAACTGTTTGATGATGAAATTTACATGCTATATACCTACCTATACGTACAGTCATGTACATGTAGTGATGTGAAAAATAACAGGAACACGACAATTTCACCAGTTTTGGCTATTTTTCTTTTGTTTGCTTAATTTTTTACGTATACATACGTAATACATTATCTAACAAAACTTTTGCAACTTGCGCTTTATCAAGCTAGAATTTAAAGGACTAAAAAAACTGCATACTTGATTTTTTTTCTACGAATTCGGAATAAAAAGTTTGTTGTAAAATGTTGCTGAATTTTTCTACCAAGTTTGAAAATTTTACTTCTATGATTTATATTAGGTAATGAGCTGTATTTGTATAAAAAATATTNTACGAATTCGGAATAAAAAGTTTGTTGTAAAATGTTGCTGAATTTTTCTACCAAGTTTGAAAATTTGACTTCTATGATTTATATTAGGTAATGAGCTGTATTTGTATAAAAAATATTAAACATTAAATAAACAAAAGAAAAAAAACCAAAACAAGACAAAATGTGCCCCTATTATTTTTAACATGACTATATGTACATGCCTACTATAATATTTTATAAATATTTCAATGAACGAACTGTGTGTTTATTATATTAGTACTTGAAAAAGAAAATGAAAAATGCAATTTATAAAAATGTTTTATAATAATTTAATTATTAATTGCCCAAATACGTCATTATCTACCATATGTTTCAAATAAAATATGTCCATGGTCTATGTTAATTTCCATAAATATTGAAACATGCGAATTACCATATTTATATAATATATTATAAGAAAAAATCTTGAATGCAATTATTATGCCTATATGCTACATATGTATGTATGTATAAAAAAAAACATACAGGTGTACATGATTGTGTATACGTATATACAATATTAAATGCTCTTGCTATACATATTTCGAACTAATTAAAGGTGAAAATTATATTGTAGCTATTTGTTGAAGTGCAACAAAAAGAAAGATGGAATATCTAGAAGGCAAAAGCAAAATGTACGAACATCAGCAACACATTTTTGGCGAGTTTACTTAGCGATTTTGGTCAAACAGGCAACGACTCTCACCTACAGGAATAATTTCTGTTTTACTTTTTCGATATAAAATTTTAATTAAATTCTTTTAATTTTTAGTACTTGTCGATATCTACCAAAATGCATTTACATATACCAATATTATAAATTACCCTTTTCTTTATTATAATTTCAGTCCTGCTTTTTTTCTTACCCCGGACAAAAAAGTTTTGCATTTGGAACTTAAGTAAAAATATAATTATGAGTTGTTTCATTTTCGCGATCACCCTGCCATGCTATTTAATATTATGCCCAAATGTGTAAAGAATTTCCACCAATTGTCACCTTTTTTATCACGGTTTAAAAAATAATTTTAATAATGTTAATAGGAGTTCAAACTTGGAAGTTATAGCATGAAATATTTCTCATGCAATATTTAGATGGTGGTTTTTGGCTTCAAGCTGAGAGTCCTTATAGAATAGCTCAGCAAAGCAATTAATTCATCCAAGAGCCGAGCCCACTATATCGGCCATCAACCTCGCAAATCAAAAGTGAAAATTTCCTTTCTCATGGACAGGAATTTGAAGATTTTAAGGGATACCTTGCATAGACCACAACTGGTTCTTGCTGTCGATGTGCCCGCATACAATTTTCCAAAATTTTGGGAAATATTACTAGAGTGATCTCCTAGTCTTTGGCCTGATATAAATTAAAGTCCGTACTTACGTAAACCTTTACATTTCCAAATAAACAGGCACAGGGCACACTGGTTTATATCTAAATCTGAGTGTTGTTTATTCGAGACTCAAGACCTGCCATCCTTCAAAAAATATTCAAAACATCAATGTTTTTTATGCAAAAGATAAAATATCCTTCCTTAAATTTTTGCTCTTTTAGTCTTTAGTATTTTCTCGATTCGCTGTACCAACGCTCAGACCTATAAAAAAAGCACCGGCGCGTATACTTCTCTGTATGGTGGTGGAACTGCAATCCTCGCGTGTGTTTTCGTGATTTTCTTAATGTTTAATGCCCAGCAAAACGTTTACCAAATACTAATCATAATAATTTTTTATATGTACATACATACAAAATATTTTGATGCAAAATTGATAATCGAATTTTCTGAATTTTTCGAAAACATTGAAATGCCAGCTTTAATATTTTCTTATATCTTTTTTTTTAAGTACATTAATGGCCACCTATGGTTAGTCCCCAACTGCGGGTCGCTCAAGTGGTCAGGGGCGGCTGTTCGATTATACATTTCAAATGAAATTATAGACAAAGAGGGCAAGACTACTACAAGCTATCAAATAGAATCAATAGTGGTACATTCACACTTTTTTATGGTAAGATTCATTACATTGCTAATTTTGCTTTGAAAATATATGTAAACAAAATTTTATATATGCAATTTTCCATATACCAAGTACACATTTTTAAAAATCCGAAATAATATATTTACATACGCGTACATGCATTCGTATGTGTGCGCATGCATACATAAATTTATGATTGTGTACATATTTATACTTACCAATATTTCGTTATGTACTACGTATTTCGTGCATAAGTTTTGATATACCTGCATATAATTACATACACTTACCTGAAATGTTTATGTATATGTACTTTTTGGTACGCATTTAGATGGCGTGTACACGTGCCCAAACCGTTTTTTCCAACAAATATGCTACGTCTATCTCTATATACTATGTTATTTGCATATATATACATACATACATATACATATATACATAAATCTATTTCCAGTGNAATGTTATTTGCATATATATATACATACATACATATACATATATACATAAATCTATTTCCAGTGCCACAGTTTCTCTCAAACAGCTTAGCGTCTACAGCAAACAATCACTTCTCTAGTTTTAATGTAGCTCTTACCATCTACCTACCTACCATACCAACCAATCAACCTTCTTCCTAATAAACGTATGTACAGTACCAAAACAGGCAGTAAATGACTTCCCCAAAAATGTGGTAAGCTGCTCTGCAAATGTCCGTCAAATGGTCATCACGTACGTAAATGTATTGCAACTTGAAAAATGTATATTTTGAATGCTGATTTGACTATATGCTTTTTTTTTTTTTAAATCATAAAATTATGTCTATAAAAATTTTTTTAAAGTGTCCTTAATTTTTGACTACGAACCCCCAATTTTAGTACTGCTCATTTATCTGTATATTATTACGATTATAATTCTTATTATTATTTGCAAATATAAGAGTTTTAGAAAAATTACAAATATTCGCGTGAGAGTCTAATTAAAATGTTGCAACATTTTAAAACGACCGAAAAATTAACCTACAAAATTTATCGAAAAAAGCTGTAGAAAATACGTATATTTCAATATTATATTAATCAAATTATTAACAGGATATAGACAAAACAAACCGCTTGTTTTGTTTAGAAAATCGCAAAGAAAAATATAAAAGAGAAGTTTAATAATTTTAAGTGTACTATGAAATGGCAAACAATATTTAATCGCTTTTAGGATAGTGTTACAAATACATAGGAAAACATGTAATTGTTTTTGTCAAAAAAAAAAACAAGGAAACTCAAAAATAACCACAATTCAACGTACAAGTCCGACTTGGATTGAAAATTTTAAAAATAAATATCTTTAATAAAGCATTGATTTATTCAACACCCAACATCGAAATATTGTATATTTATACAATTTTCAGATATATGAAAATTATATAAAATATATCTATGCGTATTTATGTGCATACATATGTATATCGTATGTATTATTCAATTTTGTCTACCATACTTTCAGCGCGTTTAGGTGTAGGCAAATGAGAGAGGAAAAGGCAGCAGTCAGATTTGTTGGCAGTGCGCAAGAACAGAAGCCGGTCAATCAATCATTCAGTCAGGCCGTCAGTCAGTTGGTTGATCGTTACAGGTCGGGACAGGCACCAATTCCAGTTCATGTGTTTTGTAGAATGTGTGTTGTTGAAACGTGTATACTCGTGCCGTATGGGGTTTTCGATTTATAATCGGCGCTTTAGGTTTGTTTTTATTATATTGTATATAAACACTTTTACATTAAACTTTTATTTGATTTTAAATTCATTATATTGACTTTACTTAAATGAAATTTGCTTAAAGCATAACTACGTACATAAATAATTTTCTTATAAAATTAATTGTTTTATACATAATTTCCTGTATATAACCTATGAAATTTTCGCTATATTTATATATGTATATATAAATATTTCTCGTAGTGTTTGGTGCTGAAGCTGCTGCTGCATTGCCCCCTTTTCCCCTCCACCAATGTTTGGTCGTGGCAGACTGCAGATACAGAAATAAAGCCAAGTGGTGTCAGCAGCAAAGTGAGCAAACGCACATGCACGTAACTTTTTGCGAACATTTGACATTTTTATATATATAAAAACATACATACATACATTTTTTTCAAAATATCAATTTTACAATGTCTATACCTACAAACATATATATATGTACGCTTACTATGTATTCATAATTTAAAAGATTGTCCCACTTACAAAATTTGATATGGCTCGG